CAGTCTTCCTCACATATGTTTTTGCTGTTGATCCAAAAGAAGGCAAAAAACCTAGTCTGCAGCGCTTCCAATTTTGCAACAAACTAGGAAACAAATTCCTTCTTGACCCCAAAATAGCAGTCAGATATCTCCTTGGATCAAGCAGTTATTTCTCCACTAATTAGAAATTATATCCCTGTATGTTATATTTCTAAAAGTATTTATCCAATTGCAGTTTAAACATCTGTATAGACTCTGATAAAACCAACTCTTCAGGCAGAGAATTCCATATACTTATTGCTCTTACTGTAAAAAAAAAACACTTTTCTTTGCCTTAGATGAAATCTCCTTTCTTCCAGCCTAAATGTGTGACCTTGTGTCCTATGTACAGCCCTGTTTATGAATAGATTTCCAGATAATAGTTTGTACTGGCCCCGAATATATTTGTATAATGTTATCATATCCGCTCTGAGGCGCCATTTTTCCACACTAAAGATATTTAAATTTGTTAACCTTTCTTCGTAACTGAAATGCTCCATTCCTTTTGTCAATTTTGTAGCTTGTCTCTGCACTTTTTCTAGTGCAATGATATCTTTCTTTAGAACAGGTGCCCAAAATTGCACAGCATATTCAAGGTGTGGTTTTACCAGTGATTTATAAAGAATTTATGCGCCTATTTATACATGACAAAACCTTACTGGCCTTAGCAACTGCAGATCGACATTGCATATTGCTGCCTAATTTGTTGTCTATAACAATTCCCAAATCCTTCTCTTGTGTGCAGTTATCCTTAATTCGCCTCCATTTAGGGTGTAAGTTACTTGTGCATTCTTGAACCCGAAGTGCATAACTTTGCATTTCTGTATATTAAATCTACATTAAATTTAATCTGCCATTTTAGTGCCCAGTCCCCCAATCTATCTAAATCCCTCTGCAGCAAAGCAATATCCTGCTCACATTTTATTACTTTACAACATTTTGTGTAATCTGCAAACACTGATTTCAATGCCTATTGCAAGATCATTTATAAATATGTTAAATAGAAGCGATCCCAAAACAGAACCCTGAGGGACACCACTTACCACTTTTGTACAGCTTCAAAATTTACCATTAATGACAACTCATTGGCTTAAGCCAATGTTCTACCCAAGAACAAGAATATTCATCTAGACCAATTTCTTTTAGTTTGAACACTAACCTATTGTGAGAAACCGTATCAAATGCCTTGGAAAAATCCAAGTAGATCACATCCACTGCAACACCCTGATCTATACTTTTACTTACTTCTTTGTAGAATGCAATAAGCTTAGTTTGACATGATCTATGTTTCATAAAACTATGCTGATTATTGCAAAGTTCTTCCCAATGAATTCCTGAATATTATCCCTTTATAGCCCTTCAAATATTTTCCCAGTCACAGAAGTTAAGCTCACAGGTCTATAATTTCCAGGCGAGGATTTTGAACCCTTTTTAAATATAATAACGACATCTGCCTTCCTCCAATCCTCCGGTACAATACCTGAAACAAAAGAATCTTGAAAGATCAAAATACAGAGGTTATCCTTCTCTCTCTTTTCATCATATTATTTTCTCCTGAACACTGATGGTAAATAGTTAAAGGATCACTATAGTCAACATATAAAAGCAAGAAAGACAGATCCCCTAGCTTTCTTGCTTGCTTTTATATTAACTTCCCCTTAATAAAAAATATTTTCCAGTCCTTATTATAGATAAAACTTACCTCCGTTTCAGCGAAGAGATACTCGTCGGGCCACGCCCCGTTTTTCATCAAAATGACGAAGTAGCAGGGGTCAATCAGATGCTTCTCTGAGAGAAGCATCATTGCGATCTGGTGCGCATGCGCGGCTTCCCGCTTCACCAATCACGTTCTTTATAGAGCCCCATTCAATGCCGCCCTATGAATAAACACTGAGTGCTCTACCACGCATGTGCGTGATATGCGCGTTTACGAGCTGACAGCTCAGCTCGCTGTCTATGCCCGCCCCCTCCTACCGCAACCCTCCAGCCCAAAGTATATAGTATACAAACACCGACATTGAAAATAAATACTGTATTGTTAAACATACACACATACTCTATCTCTATCTATCTAATTCTATCTATCTATCTCTATCTATCTATTTATTTCTATTTAATTCTATCTAATTCTATGGATTTATTTCTATCTGTGGCAAACCTAGCCACTTGGACGATAACCAGAGACTATGCCTTTAAGGGTTGCCTATAGGTCTGGGGAGATATGTGCTTTACTCTGTATGTGTATGCTATATGTATTTTCTGCATTGCCTGTATTTGCCCTTTTGCCGAATGCAAATGGCGGTTTGTATGGGGGCCCTGCGCCCCCATCGCCGGCCCTTTAAATGCCACAGCCGCCTGAGCGCTCTATAGAGAGCGCTCAGGCGGCTGCCGCACTGCCTCACCTCCCCTGCCCTGTAGCGTGGCCGAGCTCCTTTCCGGTCCGCGACCCGGCGGACTGACAGGAAGTGCACACTGCGTCCTGTCACTCCGCCGGGTCGCGGACCGGATAGGAGCTCGGCCACGCTACAGGGCAGGGGAGGTGAGGAGAAGCTAATAGGAGGGGGGGGAGATGATTGATGGGGGGAGGGGGATGATGGGAGGGAGGGGAGATGATTGATGGGAGGGGGAGATAATTGATGGGAGGGAGGGGGGGAGATAATTGATGGGGGAGATAATTGATGGGTTAGGGGAGATGATGGGAGGGGGAGATAATGATGGGAGTGGAGGGGGGAGATGATTGATGGGAGGGAGGGGGGAGATGATTGATGGGAGGGAGGGGGTAGGAGGAGAAGATTAGGGGGGGAGAAGAGAAAATTATGGGGGGAAGAAGAGAAGATTATGGGGAGAAAAAGGATTACAGGGAGGGAAGGGGGGAGAAGAAGAGAAAATTACAAGGGGGAGGGGAGAAGATTACAGGGAGGGGGGAGAAGAAGAGAAGATTACAGGGGGGAGAAGAAGAGGAGAACACAGGGAGGGGGAGAATAAGAGGAGAACACAAGGGGTGGGAGATGAGAACGTAGGGGAGGGAGGGAGGGAGGGGGCGGTGGAGAGACCACTAGGGGAGGGGTGTGAGGAGAGACCGCTAAGGGAGGGGGGTGGAGGATAGACCACTAGGGGAGGGTGGGGGGAGATGAGAGACCACTAATGGAAAGTCGGGGAGAAAAGGAGACCACTAAGGGAGGTGGGGGGGAGAGGAAAGACCACTAAGGGGCAGGGGAGATCTCTAAGGAATGGAAGGGAGAGCTCTATAGGACAGGGGGCAGGACAGGGAGCTCTTTCACACCACGCGCACACACACACACACAATGCATCCCTATACACACAGAAACACAACATGCTTCCCTTACACACAGAGAAACACACAATGCAACCCTTACACATAAAGACAATGCATCCTTTGCACATATACACAGAAATACACAATGCATCCCTTACACACACATGCAAACACACACTGTTTCTCTTACACACACACACAGAAACACTATCCATCTCTTACACACACTCAACGCACCCCTTACAGACACACACTGCATCCCTTACATACACAGAAACACACTTTGCATCCCTTATGCATACAAACACAGATTCACACAATGCATCCCTTACACACAACAAGAAACACACAATACATCCCTTATACACAAACACTCACTGCTTTCTATCCCTTACACAAAAACACACTGCTTCCACTACATACACACTGCATCACCTACACAAACTGGTATCCCTATACACTACATTCCGTAAGCACACACATTAGATCCTCTACAGTAACACATAACACATCCCCTACACACTCTACTCCCTGTGAGCGAACTCATGGGTGGAACATGTAGGTGGACTTATGGGTGGGCTTTATGGGCATACTCACCGTCAGGCCCTGGGGCCCAGACCTTGAGCTATGTAAGAGGCCCCAAAAAATGGAGCTGCTTCCCGTTCTCCCAGAACATTGAATTTTGTGACCACAGTTACAAACAGCCTCCAGAGATCCTGTTCTACACCAGACCAGTGGAGCCAGACTGCAGCCAGAGCCCATCACCATCCTCATCTGATTGTAAGTAGGCAATCTAGTATATTATTAGTGACACTAATCTCTAATTTACCTCACATTAAATGGACACCACTATAGTCCCCAGAACCACTGCAGCTTAATAAAGTTGTTCTGGTGGCTATAGTTTGTCCCTGCAGGCTTTTTAATGTAAACAAACACTGTGTGCAGCACTGGCATTAGTTCATATGGCAGATCATATGGGTGGGGCATTGCGATGTCCCGGGGGGGGGGGGCGGCAAATCTTTCTTTTGCCTAGGGCGGCAAAAATCCTTGCACCGGCCCTGTTCACCCACCCAGACTCACACTCACCCAGACTCACACTCACCCACACTTGCTTACTTACCCACACTCGCTTACTCACCCACACTCGCTTACTCACCCACACTCTCTCACTCACACTCACAAAATAAGTTTACTTATGGTTTGGATCCTCCTGCTCAGTCTCCGGTCTTCAGCCTGTCCCACTGTGCAAGAGATCCTCATCGCCCACACTGTCGTCTCTGATTGCTGACAGGCTCCGGGGTTAACTACAGGAGGCAGGATGTGCGTTCACAGTGCCTCCTGTCTCCAGATATCACGTTTGATGTTTTCACCCAAGCGTGAAGACGTCAAATGTGATGAATGCAAGTTAGGCAGCCCTGAACTCGGAAGTCCCTCTGGTGGCCGTCTGAGTGACCACCACTGGAGTTTTTGCTAGCTTCCAATGAAAACACTGTATTTTCTTACAAAATACAGTGTTTACATGAGAAAGGCTGCAGGGAGCTATTGTTCTCATCTGAACAACCTCATTAAGCTGAAGTTGTTCAGGTGACTATAGTGTCCCTTTAATATTCATCATGAACTCACATGTACTTTTACTGTAATAATATTTTAATGTGTCTCATTAATTTCTCACAAGTGGCACATTACAGACACGCTGACCAATAGCGCTGGTTGACATTTTTTATTAAAATATAATAGTAACTGTATTCAATTTAACACTTCAAAAATATTTTCATTTAATAGTGTAAGTGAATAAAAGTAAGGAAATATATTTTAAAAAAAAGCAAATATGTTAGTTCTAACAGAAAAAGACAAATTATTTTTTTTTTACTTCTCAAAGAACACCAAAAAAATACTAGTCCATAATTTGGAAATAATTCAACTGAAATAACATACACAATATTTAAAGAGACACTATAGGCACCAAACAACTTTAGTTGGAAGCCGTTTTTGTGTATAGATCATGCTTTAGAAGTCTCACTGCTCAATTCGCTGCCATTTAGGAGTTAAATCACTTTTGTTCTGTTTATGCAGCCCTAGCCACACCTCCCCTGGCTGTGACAGACACAGCCTGCTTGAAAGCAAAACGTTTTCAATTGTAATCAGATGTTAACTTAATTTAAACGTTTTTATCTCCTGCTCTGTAAATTGAACTTTAATCACATACAGGAGGCTCCAGTAGGGCCTAGCAAGCTATTTACAGAGCAGGAGATACATTTTTTTTTTTTTAAATTAAGCAGAATTTGCAATAAAGGATGTGTAAACATAAGATGACTCTTTAAAGGAAGTGTTTAGGAAGTCTGTGTAAGTCACATGCAGGGAGGTGTGACTAAGGCTGCATAAACAAAGTGATTTAACTCCTAAATGGCAGATAATTGAGTAGTGAGACAGCAGGGACATGATCTACACACCAAAAATGCTTCATTAATCTAAAGTTGCCTTGGTGACTATTGTGTCCCTTTAACTGGCATTTTAAAACATTTACAAAAAATCACCTTGGATGTTACTTAAGGCCACTCCACCAGGTTAGAAAATAAAGAAAATTCCAGCGAAAACAAATCTCTGGAATAGTAGGTAGGAGGTCCCTCTATCCACCAGATGGATTATATAAAATATAACTTTTATTTATAGAATTAAAAAATACAGAAAAAAAATGTGTATGTATAGAAATAAAAAAAAAAAATTAATAGACAGGCAGGTATGTCAATATATTCACTAGTTGTATCAGAGAATAGTGTACATTGTCTATAAGTATATGAGACAGAATTATGTCAACTAGTGGATAAAAAAGATCTCCACTCAGGGAAACAAAAAATATAGGAGAAACAAACTTGTAATATAGTGAGTCACTCACAAGGCAACAATTATATACAGAGTGCCTAAATAGTCTACTATCATTTGTATAAATTGTTGCAAAAATATTACTAATGCTTAGAATATAAACATGGGCTATCTAAATCAGGAAAGAGCCCATAATAGTTAAGCAGAAGTAAAGAGTGGCAGTTGGAGAGAGAGAGAGGTCCCCTACAATCAAAGTAAAAGAGCAGAGTCACCCCTACCCTCTAAAATCGGCTCCTAATTCCTGATACCACCCCCCACTGAAATCACATCTATGGATTATATCAAAATAGTCCGATCAAATGTTAGATTGAGGAGAGCGATCTGGAGATTCTAACTGCCTGTCTAAATTGCCAAAAGCTACCTGGCAACCGGACGCAGCTCTCCGGTATCAATTTAAAAGCTGCTCATAGCCAATCACTGAACGGGGGCGTGGTTCAGCCATTCGCGCCAAAACCGCGTTCAAATTGGCCACGCCCCCTTCGAACGTAGTGCCATATGATTAATGGAAAGCCCCAAAAGACCGAAACAAATTACCCTTGATGTCACTTATAATTAAGTGGGTATTATGTCAATTATTATTACATAGTCTATAGGAACACAGTTATGTTAACTACTCTTATTGTATTGTCCATATGAAAAAATGAATCTAGAGACCAAAATAAAGAAAGATCTCTAGAGTCACATAAATAATGTATATAGCTAAATGTGGATATAAAATAAAAGAAATACACTATATTAGCTCCACATAAAGGAAACAAACCAGATTATATGTGTACATTCTCCAGATGGACTATATGATAAAGAGAGAGGAATACAAAAAATATATATAGAAGAATTGTGTACTCAATTAGACTAATGAAAGAGGGGCTTTCACAGGCTCTACTTCTATCATAAAATCATAACATACTAGTTAAAAGATAGAAAATTGAATAAAATAACAAAAAAGTGTAATGATTTAATTAGATTAAAGTACTACTTATTTTTTTTATTTTTTTTTATTTTTTTTCAATATATGTTGTGAAGGTAAAGCCCTCATTTAAACCGTTAGGGGCGAAGGTGTTAAATCTGTAAATCCAAAAGGATTCCCTCTTGAGAAGGATTCTATCCAAATCTCCTCCCCTGGCGCCTGTATTGACTTTTTCAATACCCGCAAATTTAATGGCTTTTGGATCTCCACTGTGGCTAGTTCTGATATGTGTCGCCACGGGAGTTTCTCTGAGATTCCGAATGGAGTATACATGCTCCATAATTCTCTTTTTGAAGGGGCGTATCGTCTTGCCTACATATCTTAGGCCACAAATGCAACTGAGGAGGTATATAACTCCTTTTGTATTGCAGTTGAAAAAATGTTTGACCTTACAGATAGTTTTATCTGTTGAATCTGTTAGTTCTTTGGAGCCCTTGTTAATATATCCACATGCCACACATTGACCACATTGGTAAATCCCTTGTACAGAAAGCCAGCATTGTTGTATTTGTTTAGATGAAAAGTGACTAGGTACAAGGGTCTCTTTTAGGTCACTCCACCAGGTTAACAGAACAAACTGCTTATTTTCTTTGGTGTGTATTGCACTTACCTACACAACGTTAAGTGTCACAAAGGTTAGTATCATTAGCAAATCATCCTAGCCATATTCCTGGACTGTATATTTTCCCCACATTGTAGGATTAACAAAATGAAATCTATATAATTGGTATCTCACCAGCCTCAAGAATCAGCAGTTAAAGAGATATATCCAAACACTTCGTCAAGTGTTCACATTTTCCATTTATGAGCTTTTTAAATTCTAAATAGGCCGTGAGTGAATAATTTATCTTTATAAAGATTCACTGCTGCGCATTGCTACTCCCATTCCACTCAATGAGTGTGGCAGTCGCTACAGTCAAAGTGACAGGGCTTATCTCTAATTTATAATGTTAGAGGGACACCCATCAGTAGATGTCAACACCCACTTTTCTAAAACACATAGATGATAAAATACTATAAATTGCGTAATAAAAAAAAAAAAAAAACATGATGCCTATATACAGCATATGCCAGGGTTTTAATCTGCCTCCTTTGACTTCAGGTTCAAACAGGAACTGGCTTAGAACTCTCAGCCAGTTCCTGGTCTATGTGTGACATCACATGCACTCATCCTCATGCACTAATATGGCAGCTGCTTTTGCAATACAGCTGCCCATTGCTTCAATGGAAGTGAGCTGCAGCTGTACAGGTGAGGCTCCTGTGTATTCTTATAGGAAACCCATAACATATATCACAATGAGAGTACGGCTGTACTCACTATAGGTTAATATGGTCTAGTTTCCAAAACAAGTGTGTTATTATTCAGGCAGGGAGACATATCCATGTTTTTTTCACATGTTGACTAGTATGCAAGTATTTTGGTATACTTATTCCACAAGTATCTTCCTTTATATGTTATTAAATATGATAACTAGTAGCTCTCTTTATCTATCATTTTATGACCCCATTCGTAATTTAGAAACAAGTTGATTTACAACAGTAATCAATAGATTCTAAGAACCTGTACCTGGGCTCTTAGCTTGAATAAGTCTGACTTATAAATGATTTACTGCTTAGAATTTTTCATAACTCATTATTTTCTTACAGTTTTATTGTTGAGAATGCACACAGTGAGATCATTTCTAAAAGATTACGTCCGGCCCCGCTCTAATAAAATGACCTCGACATTATTTCTTAAATCGTGCAAATAAGCTTTTCTTCTTCTTAATGTTTTCGAGAACATCTTCCAAGGTAAATAAGCAAAAATATATATGCTCATAATGAGTTTTATCACCACCCTCAAACAAAACTGCAAATGTGTTTGCTTCTTGGCAGTCGACAAGGTCGGAGTAGCCACTAAATCCTTCATAAATGACCCAAGGTTTGGACCAGGAGTCAGACTTGAGTGGAAACGTGTTCAAGAATATTCCAAGATCTCTACGGTCATTTTTTATGGGGTGTGAAAACATTAGCCAATGATTGTGATTTTGCGCAGTTTCCTCACCCCCAAGGAAACTTAAAACACTCCCATGACATCCGTCTTTTATCTCCTTCAGCTTTCTGCTCTTTTCTACAAACTTAAATTCTCCACCAATATTTAGGCTTAGTGCTTCCACTCGTTTAACACTTGTGGATCTGGCATTGCAATAAAGCATGTTTTTGCCATCGTCACATATTTCCGCCAGCTCACATTCGCCACTCTTGTATTTGACAATACGCTGAGATATTTCCCATTTATGACCCTGGTCTGCACTGTAGAGATAAAATGACTGGGCTGCATCAAACCACCAATGTATACACCAATATTTGGCAATGTAGACATAAGCAGGAATAATTAGTTTCCCATCTTGTGTTTGTATTCCATGACCTGGAGACAAAAAACAGGTGGTCATTTTCCTAATGCCATTGGTCACTTCTGTGATATCTTTGATGAAACTCCACGTTTTACCAAAATCGCTGCTGGTGACATAGCACAACTTTGAAGAATTTCCCCAGACCCTCATGTGGTTTTCAGTGACTCCATCAGGTATACAGTTAAAAAACAAGAATAAAACTTTGGAGTTCTTGTCGTAGACTGAACAAGGATTCATGGTGCGATGGTTTTTCATGGTAGCTTCATGTAAGGGTTGGATTCCTTCCCACTGCAAAGGAAGACATTACCGTAGGTTATATTCCTCTTTAATGACCATATACAAAAGAACAGTTTGTACTCTCTATTGTTACAAGTATTTAAATACGTATTTAAAGAGTAACTCAACTATTCGTTGCTATTGATCTGACAGTGAACAATAATAAAGAATTGTGAAACCACATGACAAATAAACATAGGAATCTTCCACCTTATAGGACATGCTAATATATCTCTGGATTGTAATAAAACATAATAATGTCACATTTCACATACAGAACACTAAAGCACTTTTTTTAATATGCAATTTGAGATAAGCAGGTTTGTCTCAAAGTTGATCACCTCCAATTCTACCTATGTTTTGTCTACATGGTCACGCTCATCACCATTTTGTAGAAGTATAATTCCCTTCTTCCATTTTTCCCCAGACAGATTATAGTTCCACAAGATACTAAAAAGTACATTGTTAGTGCTGAATTGAAAAATATCTCAGTAAATCTTTCCAATACATAAAATTACCTTCACATATCCAGTCTTGTAAATCCCTCTTCTCATGACCACATATTCAGCACTGACGTCCGCATTGTTCTTTCGTCTCTCCGCAAAAGCCACAAATGTGTTCTCCTCTTTGATATAAATGAGTGACGGAATTCTGTACGCAGGACCATTGGGTTCATGACTGAACAGTGGAGTTCTCTCTGGAAGAGATGCTTTCATTACTGGTTCTATGGACCTAAAACCACAAAACATAGAATATTAATCATTCAGCAGATACAAGTGAGACTTTGCTATCTATTCACTATGGTCTGATTCTTTAACTGACTTTACATATTTAGATGAGGTTGGCTCATGACATGGCTGGTCATTTACGTAGATTGGGGGCATGGGGAAGGAAGACATTTTATCTGTATTGTGGACACTTGCGCCAGGAGGACTACTAAAAAATAGCAATGAGGTTAGCACTAACAGTGCCAAAGAGACTGTAGTTTCCTCTGGTGTGGCAATACGGATCCTGCACTATTTAGTGTCTGAATGACTGGGCATTACTCTAGTACATTAATAAAGTGGCTTATGGCACGTTAATGGGCATATAATTATGGACCCCTTGCCCACATTCAGTTATCCCATTCATTACAATTAACCTAAATCCTCCAGGCCAATCAACTGGAAGCGCCCTTCCTCTGGCCGCGACTGGAGTCCAGAAAGCCGCAAAGACTACAGCAGGACTTATCCACAACGTCTCTGGAACTGTGGTATGGCCGCAGCTCTCCCGGTCAACTTTCCCCTTTGTTTTCCCCCACTTTCCAAAACAGCTATAAGAGCGCTTTTTGGAGGGCAGTCGCCTTGGACTATGTGGAACAATCACTCCTGGAGAGCAAGGGGTAGCGTCCCCTATTTAATTCTCAGGGGCTGATGGCATTTGGCCGGTCAAAGCTCCATTTATCCTGGAACTCTTTTGGTCATAGACTCTGTTAGCATTCAGTCAAAATTTTACCCCGGTGGTGATTTGTCAATCCCTGATGATTTGACTATTTTTTGGGGGTGTTTTATTGCTGTGTTCTCTGTATCCAGGAAATAATTAGCTTAGCAAGCAGCAACTCAATTATCTCCCAGACACAAAGGCACCAGGGCGGGATCATTGTACTGTTAAATAAAGGATCCCATGCTTGTGCTATTAAAATTAAATATACTCTGTAACAGCACCCCCAGGCATAAAAGGGGTTAAAAGCCGTTTAGGAGATATTCCCCTTCCAGATATACAGGCAGCTACCAAAGACACCAATCCGCCGAACAGGAAACCATATGAATGCCGTAAACAGCCGAATAGGAAAAACCATACGAATAGGTTTACACTCCTAGCAGTCGAACTGGAACAGCATACAATAAATCCCCCCAAGAACGAGACAAGGCTCTGTTTTGAGGGTCAAGCAGTGAACAGACAGAGCTGTGGGTTTATTGTTCTTATGTACACATTCTTACACATTAGTACCACCTACAGGGTTTTGGAAAACAACCAATAAACATGTACAATACACTCAGACACTCCCACACAAAATCCTCCCCTCTGCCTGTGATACAATTACCTTACACAATGGGTAATGTAATTATCACAGGCAGAGAAATACAGTTTTTCCACATTATTCATAATTTTAAAAGTATGCATCACATTCACACTTACATTTTCAGAATCAGCATACTCCAAATACAAACATACGTCAAAATCATACAAATTGGTCCAGTGGTTCAAAAGATAGATTGTAGTCCTTGTGACCAAGCATGGCTTTTCTGCCCAAAACCAGTTCCACAGAGTCTTCTATCCTGGAGATAATTGGGAAGAAATCCAATTATCTCCAAGGACATAGCCAAAACTCCATTGAACACATGGCAGCAAAAGACAATAAAATACATAAAAATATATAACTGTGCAGCCATTGCATAAAACAGGTACATTCAACATATCCCCAGATAGCTCAGATCTGAGCGCACATTATTACTGAATGGTGCTCAGATCACACACATCCAGTTCAATTGCCATGGAGCCAAAGTCTTTCCCATAGTTTTTCATTATACGAATGTGCTCCATGGCATAGTTATCTGGGGTATCACCGCTCAAACAGGGCAAGCACCGAATGACCCGGCTTTCGTGTCTTTGCAGGGGAAAATCAATCGTTTCAACATGGGGCCATAGTCTAAAGGCAGCAGGCGGGCAACCAGACTCCTCCTATGCACAGTGGCGAAATTGGTCTCGTCACATACTCCCAACATAAAGTCACGGCTAATGAATGTGGGGGGGGGGAGCTAAACCAGCTTACACACTACTTTCACTAGAAGGAGCTATAATACTACGGGAAAAGGTAATCCTTGGCGGTGAAACAGCGGTGATCCACCACAGCAATGTTTGTATGGTGTCATGGATCAATCACCACTTGGTAAGAATTTGAGGTTCCTGACAAATAATCAATAATCGAGTACTCGGGAGACAATAAACCACAATCACACTTGTTGTAGCTTCAAATATCATCTCTCCTTTATTGGGAGAGCATTGGGTATTTATGCAATCTTAGAATAGGGAAATAGCTGCAAACATAGTCTTATTTTAGACGGTGACAGTTAACTCAGACTGTTGCAAGCACAAGATGCAACTTCTTCATTTTCTCCAGCTGTAAGCAGTTCCTCTTGCTACACATTCAGACACAGATCACAGAAAGTTTATATCAATTTTATATTCTTTCCCAACTGCAGGGTTATAACGACAGGGGCATGACATTGAGATGAATTGGTCTCGGTGCCTATAGTGTCCCTTTAATGTTTAATATCCTGTGGTATGTGAGCCAGGAGCTGGGCCAATTCTGCTGAGGTGTGGGTGGGTCTGTTTACATTCTGCAGCACAGAAGATAAATATTTTATGCTGCCCTCACTATCTGGAAAATGCATCCCGTGGTTGGTGAGCATTCCTGTGATTCTCTCATATAAACTCTAGAGAGATTCTATCATTTCCCTTTTAATGTTACTGGGCGTCTGCTGCCTTTTATGGGCCTCTGCCAAAGAAGGATACTTTATGGAATAAAGCAGAAACAGAGACTGGCAATATTCCATCGAACACAGATGGAATCATTAGCCCTATCACAGTATAATAGTGCTGTTATGGGGGCTGACAGAGCAGAATTTGGGTTAGTTTATTAGGTTGCAATCTTTCTCAAGGTGCCCTCTTTTAGATATAGCGGGTGTGCTTAGTTATGAGCTGCTGAGTTAAGGTTGGATTCTATGAGAATTATCTCTGGGTTAGTCACTAAGGTGAGAATTCAAAGTGAATTTTATATTCAAGGTCAAAATAGCTGAACAAAAAATTCTGTGAGTCAGATATGCCTTCAATAGGACTACTCTGGCCTCAAGGGACACTATAGGCCAGAGCTTGACAACTTTGGAGCTAGGAGTCAGCTTAAAAAGTTAGGAGCTAGTCATTTTCAATTCTTAAAGCGACGCTATAGTCACCAGAACCACTATAGCTTGATGTAGTTGTTCTAGTGTCTATAGCCTGTCAATGCAGGCATTTTAGTGCAAACACTGCCTTTTCTGTGGAAAAGGCAGAGTTTAAATTTCTGCTTAGTAACACCTCTAGTGACAGTCACTCAGATGGCCTCTAGAGAGTCCTGGGTCACCGCTGCACCATGTGCAGCACCCAGGTTCAGTGTCTTCAAGCTCTGCATTGAGGCACTTAATGTTCCTTCTCTCAAGCTTTCCTGGGTGCAGAGCCTCTCTCCAGCTCTCTTGGATGGAGAGCCTCTCTCCGTTTGTCCTGGGTGGAGGGCCTCTCTCCGGCTCTCCTGGGAGCAGAGCCTCTTTCCGGTTGTCCTGGGTGGAGGACCTCTCTCCGGCTCTCCTGGGTGCAAAGCCTCTCTCCGGCTCTCCTGGGAGCAGAGCCTCTCTCCGGTTGTCCTGGGTGGAGGACCTCTCTCCGGCTCTCCTGGGAGCAGAGCCTCTATCCAGCTCTTGTGGTTGCAGAGCCTCTCTGGCTTTCCTGGGTGGAGAGCCTCTCTCCAGCTCTCCTGGATGCAGAGCCTCTCACTGGATTTCCTGAATAAACTGTCCTGATGTTTCTGTTCTGTCATTTTCCAGAGATGGGTTGTCAGATCCACCGCTCATGCTATTCTATGTATTTCTCCTGGCATCACCAAAAAGCACAGAGAAAGTATGATATTAAATGTCAGGCCAGTGCTTGGGTACCAGGGTACAGTGTATATACATACATCCATGCCAGCACTTCAGCATTATTCTGCGTGATAACCCTGGGTTACTTGGACATAGTGCCACTTGTCAGATAAGCTAATGAATGCCAGGCTGACATGCCCCAATTATGGCTGCCAATTGCCACCAGTGATGTACATGGAAAGCCAGGCTGAATCTCACAGCACAGTTCCTGCAGGTTAACAAGACTGACACAGGTCTAAACGAAGGGTTTTCTTTTTCTCCATTCATTTGACTTATGGGAGTTCTCTGTAGTATATTTTGTATATATTTTGTATATAGTGTGCCTTTTCCTTATTTTTCTTTTTCTCTTTCTCTTCTCAACCGGCTTAATCATTACTTAGTGATTTTATTACTAGTGATCATTTCTAGTATACATTTCATGGTAATTAGTAACCTTATAAAACCAATATATTGATTCTAGGACCGTTACACTCTTATTGATGTATATTTGCCTCCCCCAATATATTCGTAGTAACCTTTAATATCCGTTCATTATACACCTAAAGCGTTTACTTATTAGCCATTTTAATTAACTCCTTTGTTATGAGTTTATATTTGTACAATGGGGGGCATAGTTCTAAGAGATCTGTATTGAATTTATCTCCACTGGCCACTCTTTACACTATCTCTGCCTCCGGTAGAGTGAAGAGCCAACTATATATCTGCTCCTATCTAAGGGACCAATTTGTTGCTTTGAAAGTAACAGGTTCCCTGTCACCTCTATCTCTGTACTCCACAATGCTATGAGAAAGTTAAATAATAAACTGGAACCGTCAAAGAGTGGCCAATCACATTGACTATCAGTACATCTACCTCTTAAAGAAAAGGAATGGACTTCAGATAAGGCTACTTTATAAATCAGCTAGCAACAATGATACAGCCATGCTATAACCTAGAAATATTATATATTTCAGCAAGAAAATGTGAACTTTGTAACTACAGGGCAATAATACAATGAGATCATGCACAGAATTCAGAATAGTCCAGATGTTCAATCCTGGATTCTCAGATATGATCTGAGACTAGAGGATGCTCAGCCAGGATAATGACAGGAATTCTGCCCTTATGTTGTACAGACAATAAATCCCACCTTTACTCAGTTAGTGGTGGCCATGGCTGGTTTTCCTGGCTGGTTGAGATTTATGGGACTCCAGGTCTAACAACAGGTACACCAGAAGAGGTATTGCCAGAGCAGAAATCTTTGACCAATAAAGGAATTAACCTTTGAGCAGTTCTAGGACTTGCATTCCTCTACCAACATGCTTAGCCATCCAGACTGATAGGAGTTGTAGTCCAGCAGTGGAAAGTGAACTGGAACCCAGTCCTGTCAGTAGGATATAAATATTCATATTTTGATAATGACATAACTGTATTAGGTAGCCATGAATCATCACATTGTCTGAAACACCTCCCTGCTGACCACAGCACAGACCCAGTCTTCCAGCCAGCCCATAGTGACAACAGACATGAGAAAGGTACTCTTTTCGCATATTTTTATTAAAGGCTTTATATTTTTAGATCAATATATTCAGTACAGTATATTGAATACATATAAGACACATTGTATATAGAGATGCATTCATCAAACGTACAAAAAAGGCACTTTCTAAGAGTGAACACAAACATTTAGAGAAAGTTACAAACATGACATGTTACAAACCTGGAATAGTGTGTGAAATCTCCCAGGGAATTTAAGGCAGTTTAACAGTTTATTCCAGATGGTTCCTATTGGATCTCTGGCTGCTGATGTGAGATGGTTGTCCTGGTCCCACACTGAGTTCTCTGACTTTGGATCTGAGATAGAAAATTGGTTCTCCTGGACCCACACTGAGTTCTCTGGCTGCTGATGTGAGATGGTTCTCCTGGACCCACACTGAGTTCTCTGGCTGCTGGAGCTGGGGTGGGGTGGGGATTGTTTTGCACTCCCTGTGTGATCCTCCCTGAAGATTTCTGGTTTCTGATTGGATACAAAATCCTTTTTCTTGCTAGCCTTGCACTGCCTAGTACTGCTATACAAGTATCCACAAACCCTGAGATTAACCAGAATATTTATAAAAGGAAGTTCCTAATTTTCCTGTTTAGTATTTTATTGCAGCAGTATGAGATTTCAAAGAGGAAAGTGCCTTCAATATTTTTTTTTTCCAGAATAATGGGCATTTGGAAAGACACCACCTTCTTGTCCTCTTGATTAACCCTATGATGCCTCCTGCCATGTCTGATCATAGCATGTATATAATAAATCCATATATAACAGGACAATGATAATGTGTTATACATTGAAACTTTATTATAATAATCTTAATTTGGTATTGAAACCTGGAACACGGACATGCTAATAGCTAGTTTATTATCAGTGCTCTGTTCTATTAAGAGAAGAACCATTCATAGATACTGTACTCTCAGAATGATGTCTTCAGGAAATAGCTTCAGATAAATAGCATCCAATTGTCAACATGACAGCAACATATATATATCCCAGAAATAAGGAACCAGAAGAAGGCTGCTATGGTAGTGTTATAGAGCAAGCATGTCAAACTCAAAGACTAACATGGGCCAAATAAACAAGGCTTAAGTTTATGGGGCCGCAAATTTCCCCCCCCCCCTCCCCCCCCACAAAAACGCGAAAGTTCGAACTAGACCAACACAAACTAAAATTACTTGTATAATTCTCATGCAAACAATATGTAATCCTGGGTACATATATATAATTTACTCAAAAGCTTCACTTTAAGTTACTTACAACATCCCCCCCCCCCAATGTAATACACAGCCTCACGTGGCCCCCTCCCCCCAATCCAGTACACTGCCCCCACTCCACTCTAATTTAACGGGACACTATAGTCACCTGAACAACTTCAGCTTCCGCTTGAGGTTGTTCAGGTGAGAACAATAGCTCCCTGCAGCCTTTCTCATGTAAACACTGTATTTTCTGAGAAAATACAGTGTTTAGCTTGGAAGCTAGGAACATCTCTAGTGGCAGTCACTCAGACGGGCTGCCTAACTCGCATTCATCACGTCTGACGTCTTCACGCTTGGGTGAAAACATCAACCGTGATATCTGGAGACAGGAGGCACTGTGAACGCGCATCCTGTCTCCTGTAGTAACCCAGAGCCTGTCAGCAATCAGAGCCCAGTGTGGGAGATAACATCTCCTGCACACAGTGGGCTCGGGCTGACAGGCTGAAGGCAGAAAGCAGGAGACCGAGCAGGAGGATCTACTGACTTCAAACAGTAAGTAAACTTATTTTAAAAATTGAGAGTTAGTGTGAGAGAGTGTGTGTGTGAGTGAGAGAGTGTGAGAGAGAGTGTGTGAGAGAGAGTGAGTGTGAGTGAGTGTGAGAGAGTGTATGAGAGTGAGTGTATGAAAGCGAGTGTATGAGAGAGGGAGAGAGAGTGAGTGAGTGTGTGAGATTAAGAGAGTGAGTGAGTGTGTGAGAGTGAGATTGAGAGAGTGGGTGTGAGAGTGAGTGTGAGAGAGGGTGAGTGAGTGAGTGAGAGAGAGAGATTGAGTTTGAGAGAAATAGATAGAATAGATAGATAGATACAAAGAGATAGAAATAGATAGATAGAAATAGATAGATAGAGAGATAAATAGATAGATAGAAATAGGTAGATAGACAGATAGATAGAAATAGATAGATATATTGAAATAGAGAGATAGAAATAGATAGATAAATAGATAGAAATATGTAGATAGACAGACAGACATAGATAGATACAAATAGATAAATAGATAGATAGATGGATGGATAGACAGATAGATAGAAATAGATAGATGGATAGATAGATAGATAGATAGATACAAATAGATAGAGAGAAATAGGTAGATAGATAGATAGATAGATAGATAGATAGATAGCTAGACACAAATAGATAGAGATAGATAGAAATAGATAGATAGAAATAGGTAGATAGACAGAGAGATATAAATAGATAGATATATACAAATAGATTGAGATAGATAGAAATAGCTAGCTAGATATAAATAGATAGATGGATAGATAGATAGATAGATAGATAGATAGAAAGATAGAAATAGTTAGATATAGATAGAAATAGATAGACAGATAGAAATAGATAGATAGATGGATAGATAGATAGCTAGATAGACACAAATAGATAGAGATAGATAGAAATAGATATATAGATAGATAGAAATAGATAGATAGAAAGAGATAGAGATAGATAGATAGAGATAGATAGATAGAGATAGATAGAGATAGATAGATAGAAATAGATAGATAGAAATAGATAGATAAATAGATAGATAGATAGATAGATATATAGATAGAAATAGATATATAGGACGATATGTTATTCTTCATCACCCAACCAATACTCACCCTGCCCTGCTTAATGAAAGAACTCGAGAACTATGGATGGATAGACAGATAGATAGAAATAGATAGATGGATAGATAGATAGATAGATAGATACAAATAGATAGAGAGAAATAGGTAGATAGACAGATAGATAGATAGCTAGATAGACACAAATAGATAGAGATAGATAGAAATAGATAGATAGAAATAGGTAGATAGACAGAGAGATATAAATAGATAGATATATACAAATAGATTGAGATAGATAGAAATAGCTAGCTAGATATAAATAGATAGATGGATAGATAGATAGATAGATAGATATAAATAGTTAGATATAGATAGAAATAGATAGACAGATAGAAATAGATAGATAGATGGATAGATAGATAGCTAGATAGACACAAATAGATAGAGATAGATAGAAATAGATATATAGATAGATAGAAATAGATAGATAGAAAGAGATAGATAGAGATAGATAGATAGAGATAGATAGAGATAGATAGATAGATAGATAGAGATAGATAGAGATAGATAGATAGAGATAGATAGATAGATAGATAGAGATAGATAGATAGAAATAGATAGAAATAGATAGATAAATAGATAGATAGAAATAGATAGATAGATAGATAGATAGATAGATAGAAATAGATATATAGGACGATATGTTATTCTTCATCACCCAACCAATACTCACCCTGCCCTGCTTAATGAAAGAACTCGAGAACTACGGACACCTGTCGGGCCTCAAACTCAACCAAAGTAAATGCGAACTCCTCAATATCAATGACCCGATAGGAGAACACAGAGCTATAGCCTCGGCCTTCCCGTTCCGGTGGTGCCAGACCCAAATGAGATACCTAGGGATATGGGTAACGACAGACCCTAGCGCCCTCTATCAGACAAACTTCCTCCCGCTCCTCACACGAATCCAGCACGATCTACGAGCATGGAACTACCGACACATCTCATGGCTAGGCCGCATCAAAATGAATATACTACCCAAAATACTATATCTATTCCACATGATTCCACTAGCAATACCGACGACTTTTTTCACCACACTGAAAACCGCATTCCTAACCTACATATGGAGAGGATGCAGACCACGACTAAGATATGAACTCCTATGCCGGACCAGACGACATGGTGGATTGGCACTCCCAGATCTACGAAAATACCACCAAGCAACAGCCCTACAACGGATCCTAGAATGGCACACTAGCCCAAGATATAACCAATGGGTGACCTTAGACAAGGAATCATGCATCCCGTCCATCTTTACACCCCTGTGGAACACGAAAACGACACGGAAAGACAATCCCTACACACTCTCCCGGCGAACACTGGAGGAGGACTACCAACCAAGGCCTGGGACTTCATTCCACTCCACAAAACAATGACCGCTACTGGACTGACCCCCCTAGAACAACTAGTAGAGGGCACGCCAACCCCCATGCAAAGATTCCGATACTCACAACTGACGCATTTCTATCACACACTACCGAACAGAAACACAGTGCACAGAACCCTCACGTGGTTCGAGGAAATATGCGACAAAAAAAAAACGCCTGTCCAGAAACCAACAGCGACCCTCTACCAATACCTAATCTCAGAAAAACCAAGAGGCAACACAGAGATACAAAGAAAAATAGGAAAGACTCACAGACAGGACATTCACCGACGCACAATGGGACAAAATTCTCATCCTTCACCACAAATCTACAATTAGTTCGTATTACCAGGAAATTAACTACAAATTATTGACATTCTGGTACAGAACCCCAGACCTACTTCACAAAATATTCCCCAACACCCCAGCAACGTGTTGGAGATGCGAGACAGAAGTAGGAATGCTGAAACACATCTGGTGGGAATGCACCAAAATCAAACCGTTCTGGAATCAGATCATATCTCGCATCAGAGACGTTCTAGGAGATACGACGCAATTATCCATAGAAAATGTACTCCTACATCACACAAGAGACCCGATCTCAAAATACAAACGATCTATTCTACGCCATCTCCTCGACGCAGCCAAGGCGTTAATCCCTACCCTCTGGAAAATGACACAAACCCCCACAATGGAACTATGGCTAACCAGGGTAGAAGATATCAGATCCGCAGAAGAAATGCACGCGACCTTGAGGGATACCCTCACAAAACATGTTGACAAATGGCAACCCTGGATAATGTACGTGGCAAGAAGGGACACGGGGGGTGCGGCTGGCGGGGGGAGTCTAGGGGGAGGGAAACCCCCCTCTCTCTTTTTTTTCCTTCTTTTTTCTCCCTTCACTTCTTATTAATTTCTCTCCCCCTCACACTTTACCCCCTACACACACGCTACACACCAACCACATTACACTGGCAACCTCCACACGGACAAAACATCACGCACATACGGCTTCCCAACAAACATACACCACACAGCCACAGGCCGGAACGGCAACGCACACAACACCACATACCCGCACTAGGCTCGACACACGCAATAAAGAACATCACACAACAATACCAGGACAATCACCACACGTGACTCACAAAAACACCCAGTAGAAACGCCCTAATCTCACGAACCAGACGAACAACAAAATGAACACAAACAGACCTAACAAGGGGCCCAGACTACCACACCTGACTCAAACAACAACACCCAGAAAACGACTGGACATCAAGGGACCGATGAACAGGCCACACAAATACACAATCACATTGGCTCTCAAGTCCAGGACACTCCCATACAAAATCAGATAATTCCTCCTCTGTGCCTGGGAGATAATTGGATCAGGAACTGTACTAATCTAATTCAATTATCTCCAAGGACAGAAAAAAACATACATTTTTACAACCCCCAAGAAATATCTTAAAACACACAAAACCCCCTGATCTGGGTGACCAACATATCCAAAAATCACCGAGATCAGTTCAAGGGTTCAGGAATTTCCTGGAAGTCTTATTTTTGACCAACTGTGCACATGGTCCTATGCCCAAAACAGTTCCAGGGAATCAGGGCTAATGGTCTGTCTCTCTGTCTAGAGTACAAAAGTACATAACTCACATGAACAGAGCCTTCTCAGAGGTCTCAGATAGAAAGGTGTTAGCCGGAGCTCTGTTACCATGTTGCCTGTATCAGGCGGGTCTAGCGTTTCAGTGACAAATCTCCAAAATACAATTTAAGCTGATCTCAATAAATGCCTGGGGGATCAACACACCATGTAAAAGGTCTATAATTGTGGACTTCCTGATAAAAAAAATTGGGTACAAATTTGTGCCCTGCAAGAAACCCACTGGATAAGATCCAATAAAAATATAATTAACTCATCAAGATACCCCACTATTATAAGTGCGGCTCTAGAAAAATAATCATAATCTAAGAGACATAGGGAGAACATTTCATCCCTCTGACCTAGATTACACATGCTATTCTAGAACATTCAATTCATACTCCAGAATTGACCTCAATCTGGGTAACGGTACAATGCTATATCTTGCTAAAAGAATAGAGATACAGGATATGGTCAGACCATAGTCCTATCATGTTGGAATACAAAAGTAATTTTGATACATTCCGTAAAGAGTTGCGTATAAAAGATTTTATATTACGCAAAAAACAATGTTGAAGAAATTAAGAATATAACAAATCTTTTCTTTTTAGAAAATAAAAATAAAGGTACACCGGATATCACGATCTGGTGCCCTTATACAAGCGTAGCTAGAGGCCACTTGATAAAAATGACAGCCACTGCAAATAAAAAAGGATTATCTCCTCTCTTTAAAAGATATATAACAAGTGAATATAAGAGGCAGAATAAAACAACACCCTCCACACAAATAGCAAGGAAGATTGCAGAAACAGAAAAACAGATTATTATTCACCTAATGAATAAAGCAACTAAACAGTTAGTAGCACTACAAACCAAGTGGTATCTAAAGGGCAATGTGACAAACTGGACCTCGTCACGGGTCCATGGAGGGGCATACTTGCCAGCCTCCTACCCTGTGACTATGGCCCGATGTTAAACCCTATTTGAAAGCACAATTTGTGCCTATTGGGACTTATAACAGGAACCATTCAAACGTTCAAAGTGGCACTTCGAACTCCGGCAGCCATTTAAAGTGCCATTCGACCACGTGGCCATCTTGTTCACATGGACCAAAACTGCGAATAAGACTTCAGGGGGACTTAGCCGTGAATGCCCTGGAACTATTTTCATCATGAAAACCTCACAGTTCCTGGTCGGTCCCCCAGCGGCACTTAGCCGCGATCCTATGGAACTATTTTCGGCTATAGGACCATGCCTGCGGTCGGTAAAAAAATATGACTTCCATAAAATTTCTGAACCCCTGAACTGCTGTGGGTGATTTGTGGATATGCTGGTCACCCAGAACTGGGCTATCAGGGGGTGTAACATTTGTGGGGATATTATGTGTTTTGGGGTACTTTGGGGACTTTTTAGAAATATGTGTTTTTTATACCTGGAGATAATTGAATTGATACAGTATCTGACTCAATTCTCTCCCAGGCAGAGATGAGGGATTGTATGTTTGTTATGGTAGTGTCGTGCATTTAATTACTTTTCTTATAGGTCTGTGTCTTTGTGTTGGAATCCCCAACAAGGCACATGTGGCCGTACCCCTTGTATGGGGATTGTCATAAAAGGCCAGTGTGGCACCATTAAAATTGAGTCCTGCTTTACCCTGAACATAGAGCCTTGCGTCGTGTTGTAGGACCTGCTATACAAGCTATAACCACTAGCTCTTGTAAGAGCTTCACAGCGATACCTGCTATACTCTCTTGGAGGAGAGGCCTTCCTACTGGGAGCGTTTATTTTATTTAAAGACAAAGAAACTTATCTAATGTCCCCAGAAAAAATAGGTAGAGCGTTTCAGGCTTTTTATCAGAATCTATATAACTTACCAGAAGAAATATTTGGCAGGGAAAAAGAGATTGAGGAATTCTTTGAAAACTTACCCATGCCAAAAATCCTACCGGACCAATTAAAGCTGATAAACCAGCCTATAACAGAAGTAGAGGTCAGTAAATCCATAGCTAAGCTTAAAATAAAGACTTCCCTAGGCAGACGGTTTCACAAATAAGTTCTATAAACTAATGAAAGACCAACTAAAAGGGGAACTTAATACCATTTTCAACTATATAATGAAAACAGGAAGCTGCCCTGGAGAGTTGTTGAGAGCGAATATTGTCCCCATTCCAAAGAGATAAAGAACCAGAATTGATTGGCAATTACAGAACTATATCACTAATTAATACAGATATTAAAATATTATCTTCCATCCTTGCTGATAGATTAAAAATAGTCATACCGCAATGAATTAATTAATAATGACTAAGTTGGATTCATACCAGGGAGCTCTTCAATCAACAATCTTGGAAAAATAATAAACATATTAGGATAAACAGAGATTAATGGAACCCCTCTAATATTACTGTCAATAGTTGGATGGGGTTTCATGTTTGCTACTTTAAAACAATTTGGAATCACTGGATCAACATTACAAGCTATATCCGCTCTTTACAGCTCTCCATCAGCTAAAGTAACAGGGTCAGAATTCACATCGCAAAACTTCAGTGTTAAAAATGGTACTAGACAAGAGTGCCATCTTTCCCCTTTACTGTACATAATGGTGTTAGAACCCCTTGTGATTATAATAGGACAAAATAAAAAATAAATAAAAGGATTTACAAATTCTTAAGACAAAGTAAATTAAATATTTACGCAGATTACATCTTATTAACTTTAGAAGAACTAAAAACCTCAGTCCTAGAGCTACTGAAGGAGATAAATAAATACTTTCAAGTGTCAGGATACAAAATGAATATAGAGAAATCAATACTTATAGCTAAAAATGTGAATAAAAAGTTAATTAATTTTCTTGTACAAAACCTTCGGCTCCCAGAAAACAAGGACATTCTAAAATATTTAGGCATAACATTTACCTCAGATTTAAAAGATCTAGTAAAAGCCAACTTTTTACCTTTACTAACACAAACTAATAAAAACTTAAGGGACTGGAAATATCTGGGATTCTCCTGGTCGGGTAGGATCAATATCCTAAAAGTATACATTTTACCAATTTCCTAGAAAACTGGCTACACTCATCCTTTTTTAAATTTGTATGGAGCGGCAAGAAAACAAGAGTTAAAATGAAAGTTTTGGCTAGATCAAGGCAGGATGGAGGGTTGGGGTGCCCGGAAATTATATAATGTTAGGCTGGCAGACTTTTTCATATATTACTTTCACAAAATATTGCTGCAATCCAAAAAACATGGTATAAAATGGAAAAAGCTAAAACCGGGGTAGGAAATTTAATGTCACTGTTTTGGGTCATAGATGTAAATAAAAAAATTCATCAAAGAGACACAAACTAAATCCCAGATACTCAAAGAGTAAACGAGTTGGTGGGACAAATTTACAAACAATATAGGACTCAGAAATAGAATAGTAGATGTGCTCCCTATTTTCTAAAATGTCAGATATGTTAGACAATAGACATGTGCAATTCGGTTCGGTCCGAATGGAAATCTGGCCGAATTTTGGACATTCGCATGCTTCCGAATTTCCGAAGTGCTGAATTTCGGATTTGCTAAACTGAACCGAATTTTCGAAGTGTCGAAGTGCGGAATTTTGGAAGTGCCGAACTGAATTGTCGAGGTGCTGAATTTCGGAAGTGCCGAAGTGCTTCGGACTTCTGAAAAGTGGCAAAACGGGTAGGGGTCAGATTGGGGTGGGAGTAAGGTTAGGGATAGGGGTTGGGTTAGGAGTAGTGTTAGGTTAGGAGTAGGGTTAGGGTAGGGTTAGTTTAGAAGTAGGGTTAGGGTACGATTAGGAGTAGGGTTAGGGGTAGGGTTTGATTGGGAGTAGGGTTAGGGTTATGGTTAGGTTAGGGTTAAGAGTAGGGTTAGGGTACCTCCTACTCCTAACCCTACCCTAACCCTACTCCTAACGAAACTCTAACCCTACTCTTAACCCTAACCCAACCCTAATCCTAACCCTACTCTTAACCCCAACCCTAACCATACTCCTAAAACCCTAACCCTACTCCTAACCCAACCCTAAACCTACTCCTAACCCTAACCGTACTCTTAACCCTACTCCTAACCCTAATCCTAACCCAACCCTAACCCTAATCCTAATCCTACACTTACCCTAAGTCCTGAAGTCCCGAATTTCGGAAGTACCGAACCGAAGTGCCGAATTGCCGAAGTCCCGAATTTCGGAAGTGCCGAACTGAACTGAATTGACGGAGTGCCGAATTTCGGAATGCCGAACTGAACCAATTTTTTGCCCATGCACATCCCTATTAGACAACATAAAAATAGACACTAGGAAAATTGGGGGTATTAGGGGATTTAAAAATATACTAGCGGAACATAAAATTCAAACTTTCAAACAAATTATGAAGGAATTCAACATTTCCCCCAAAGATACTTTTAACTATCTGCAAATTAAGGGCTTTTTAGCAGAATATCTCCTTCAAAA